AACCATTTAGCATGCTAATGGATATCAAAAGAAAGCTGGGGTGGCAATCCTTATATTAGACAAATTAGATTTTTAAACCAAAGACTATAATAAGAGATGAGGAAGGGTACAATATCCTACTTAAAGGGTCTATCCAACAAGAAGATCTAACAATTGTAAATATCTATGCCCCTAACATGGGAGCAGCCAATTATATAAGCCAATTAATAACAAAATCAAAGAAACACATCGACAACAATACAATATAGTAGGGGACTTTAACACCCCCCTCACTGAAATGGACAGATCAATGAGGAAATAAAGACTTTAAATGACACACTGGACCATATAGACTTCACAGATATATTCAGAACATTCCATCCCAAAGCAACAGAAATCACATTCTTCTCTAGTGCCCATGGAACATTCTCCAGAATAGATCACATCCTGGGTCACAAATCAGGTCTCAACTGGTACCAAAAGATTGGGATAATTCCCTGCATATTTTAGGACCACAGTGCTCTGAAACTAGAACTCAATCACAAGAGGAAAGTCGGAAAGAACTCAAATACATGGAGGCTAAAGAGCATCCTACTAAAGAATGAATGGGTAAACCAGGAAATTAAGAATTAAAAAAATTCATGGAAACAAATGAAAGTGAAAACACAACTGTTCAAAATCTTTGGGTTGCAGCAAAGGTGGTTTTAAGAGGAAAGTGTATAACAATACAAGCCTTTCTCAAGAAACAAGAAAGGTCTCAAATACACAACCTAACCCTACTCCTAAAAGAGCTGGAGAAAGAACAGCAAATAAAGCCTAAACCCAGCAGGAGAAGAGAAATAGTAAAGATCAGAGCAGAAATTAATGAAATAGAAACCAAAAGAACAGTAGAACAGATCAATGAAACTAGGAGCTGGTTCTTTGAAAGAATTAATAAGATTGATAAACCTCTGGCCAGACTTATCAAAAGGAAAAGAGAAATGACCCAAATAAATAAAATCATGAATGAAAGAGGAGAGATCACAACCAACACCAAAGAAATACAACAATTATAAGAACATATTATGAGCAACTATATGCCAGCAAATTAGATAATCTGGAAGAAATGGATGCATTCCTAGAGATGTATAAACTACCAAAACTGAACCAGGAAGAAATAGAAAACCTGAACAGACCCATAACCAGCAGGAAATTGAAACAGTAATCAAAAATCTCCCAACAAACAAGAGCCCAGGGATAGATGGCTTCCCAGGGGATTTCTACCAAACATTTAAAGAATAATTAATACTTATTCTTCTGAAACTCTTCCAAAAAATAGAAGTGGAAAACCTCCAAACTCAATTTATGAGGCCAGCATTACCTTGATCCCAAAACCAGACAAAGACCCCATCAAAAAGGAGAATTATAGACTAATATCCCTGATGAACATGGATGCCAAAATTCTCACCAAAATATTAGCTAATAGGATCCAACAGAACATTAAAAGGATTATTCACCACGACCAAGTGGGATTCATTCCTGGGCTGCAAGATTGGTTCAACATCTGCAAATCAATCAACGTGATACAATACATTAATAAAAGAAAGAACAAGAACCATATGATCCTCTCAATAGATGCAGAAACAGCATTTGACAAAGTACAGCATCCTTTATTGATTATAAACTCTTCAGAGTGTAGGGATAGAGGGTACATATCTCAAGATCACAAAAGCCATCTATGAAAAACCCACAGCAAGTATCATTCTCAATGGGGAAAAACTGAGAGCTTTTCCCCTAAGGTCAGGAACACGGCAGGAATGTCTACTATCACCACTGCTATTCAACATAGTACTAGAAGTCCTAGCCACAGCAATCAGATAACAAAAAGAAATAAAAGGCATCTTAATCAGCAAAAAAGAAGTCATACTCTCACTCTTTACAGATGATATGATACTTTATGTGGAAAACCCAAAAGACTCCACCCCAAAACTGCTAGAACTCATACAGGAATTCAGTAAAGTGGCAGGATATAAAATCAATGCACAGAAATCAGTGGCATTCCTATACATCAACAAGACAGAAGAAAGAGAAATTAAGGAGTCGATCCCATTTACAATTGCACCCAAAACCATAAGATACCTAGGAAAAAATCTAACCAAAGAAGCAAAGAATCTGTATTCAGAAAACTATAAAATACTCATGAAAGAAACTGAGGAAGACACAAAGAAATGGAAAAAAGTTCCATGCTCAAGGACTGGAAGAACAAATATTGTGAGGATGTCAATGCTACCTAGAGCAAACTACACATTTAATGCAATCCCTATCAAAATATCACCAACTTTTTTTCAAAGAAATGGATCAAATAATCCTAAAATTTGTATGGAACCAGAAAAGACCCCAAATACCCAGCGGAATGTTGAAAAAGAAAACCAAAGCTGGTGGCATCACAATTCTGGACTTCAAGCTCTATAACAAAGCTGTAATCATCAAGACAGTATGGTACTGGCACAAAAACAGACACATAGATCAATGGAACAGAATAGAGAGCCCAGAAATGGACCCTCAACTCTGTGGTCAACTAATCTTCGACAAAGCAGGAAAGAATATCCAATGGAAAAAAGACAGTCTCTTCAACAAATGGTGTTGGGATTATTGTACAGCCACATGCAGAAGAATGAAACTGGACCATTTCCTTACACCACACACAAAAATAGACTCCAAATGGTTGAAAGACCTCAATGTGAGACAGGAGTCCATCAAAATCCTAGAGGCAAACACAGGCAGCAACCTCTTTGACCTCAGCCACAGCAACTTCTTCCTAGAAACATCGCCAAAGGCAAGGGAAGCAAGGGCAAAAATGAACTATTGGGACTTCATCAAGATAAAAAGCTTTTGCACAGCAAAGGAAACAGTCAACAAAACCAAAAGACAATGGACAGAATGGGAGATTATATTTGCAAATGACATATCAGATAAAGGGCTAGTATCCAAATCTATAAAGAACTTATCAAACTCAACACCCAAAGAACAAATAATCCAATCAAGAAATGGGCAGAAGACATGAACAGACATTTTTCCAAAGAAGACATCCAAATGGCCAACAGACACATGAAAAAGTGCTCAACATCGCTCGGCATCAGGGAAATCCAAATCAAAACTTCAATGAGATACCACCTCACACCAGTCAGAATGACTAAAATTAACAAGTCAGGAAATGACAGATGTTGGTGAGGATGCGGAGAAAGGGGAACCCTCCTACAGTGTTGGTGGGAATGCAAGCTGGTGCAGCCACTCTGGAAAACAGTATGGAGGTTCCTCAAAAGTTGAAAATAGAGCTACCATATGACCCAGCAGTTGCACTATTGGGTATTTACCCCAAAGTTACAAATGTAGTGATCCGAAGGGGTACATGCACCCCAATGTTTATAGCAGCAATGTCCACAATAGCCAAACTATGGAAAGAACCAAGATGTCCATCAACAGATGAATGGATAAAGATGTAGTATATATATACACCGTGGAATATTATGCAGCCATCAAAAAAAAAAATCTTGCCATTTGCCATGATGTGGATGGAACTAGAGGGTATTATGCTGAGCGAAATAAGTCAATCAGAGAAAGACATGTATCATATGACCTCACTGATATGAGGAATTCTTAATCTCAGGAAACAAACTGAGTGTTGCTGGAATGGTGGGGGGTGGAAGGGATTGGGTGACTGGGTGATAGACATTGGGGAGGGTATGTGCTACAGTGAGCACTGTGAATTGTGTAAGAGTGATGAATCACAGACCTGTACCTCTGAAACAAATAATACATTATATGTTAAAAAAAAAAAAAAGAAAGTAGTAGGAATGGAAAAATGAAGAGGGGGAAATAAGAGGGGGAGATGAACCATGAGAGACTATGGACTCTGAGAAACAAACTGAGGGTTTTAGAGGGGAGGGGTGTGGGGGGATGGGTTAGCCTGGTGATGGGTATTAAGGAGGGCACGTACTGAATGGAGCACTGGGTGTTATACACAAACAATGAATTATGGAACACTACATCAAAAACTAATGATGTAATGTATGGTAATTAACCTAATTAAAAAAAGAAAAAAAGACAAATATAAAAATAGGTGATATTAAACATGAGTGCATCTAATACTTTATCTTGCTTTTTCACTCCCATCCCAAATATTACCAAGTACTTTTAAAGACTTATGAACTATCTCTTTTTAGGTTCTGGGATATCTTCGCTGATTTATGCCCTAGAATATACAGATTTAAAAAATCAAAATAACTCTTTGAAAAATGCCTGGCTCCATTGATTTTGTGGAGAGGCTCTTGCTTGGCTGAATTTAATTTAAATGTAGTCCTTTGTTATTGCTTCAAGAGGACGACAGTCATTTCTAACAAGCACAAATTATTCAGAGCATGACCCTAAATGCTGTATTTCAAATAGCAAAAGAAAACAAGCTATCCTCTAACCTACTTCACATTGCAGGAAGAGAAGCTGTGTGAAAGAGAGCTGCAAAAGGGCAACCTGACCCAGAGAGATTTGCCCTCACCGGGGCCCTCCTCCCAGCTTTCGTGGGTCTCTGGATGGGCCAGTTGCACAAATACAAGAAGATCAGGCCAGCATCCTGGAAGGGGGGAGGGGGCTTGGTATCACCCTCCTTGGATAGCTCTTTGCCAAGTTCTAGTTAACCCAGTTACAGTAAAGCCATTGTGGACTCTAGTGGAGCAAGCCTCAAATCTACATGGCATGCACGATTTTTTGATGGCCATGGCCACAGCCAGTAACTGCAATTTAGTGGCTTACACATTGTCATGAAAGGGGGCGGGCAAAGGCTCAAGAGCAGTGGATTTTACGGCAATAGGAAATAGGACACATTTTGTGCAGTCGCCAACTCTTTTGCATTTCTGAGGATGAAATGCCCCCTAGATCAAAGTGACAAAGTAGTTAGGATATTCACGGGACAGAAGACAAAAGGAGTTCATTCACTGCCAAAAAACAGCCTTCTGTTAAGTATTTAGAAGTTTAATAACAGTACTTACATGAGAAGCAGAATGCAGGAGGGTAACTTGAAAGTGTGCACAGCTTAACAGAAACTGGTCATTCTTCAGGAGAGCAGACAAACGATGATTCACTTATTCACTCATCACACATACATCGAGCACCTTCTATGTGGGGCACTGACCTGGGTATTATAAGGAGTATAAATATACACAACAAAAGCCTCTACCTTTAAGGAGCTTATAGACCTATAAAATAATATATTATTATACACTATAATATATTAATTACATATAATTAGCTTAATCATAAATGAAATTAAACCAATATATTATATATAATACATTGTATATTATATATTATACATATACATACATATCACATATATTACATATGTTATTATATATACACACACACACACATATATATGTGTACACACACACACACACACACACCCAACTCGAGGTGTCAGGCCATCTGTACAGCACTTGCAAAGTGGATGGACAAAAACTAACCTTACAGTTTTAGCCTAACACCCTCTTCAAGGGGATAAAATGATTGTAGTTAAAGAGGCAAGAAGAGAAATTCTTTCTTTGGAGGGATTTGTTGGAATACCGTACATTTCCCTCTACATGTGCCCCCCACTCTATCAATGGAGAGGTTGGGGAGTACTTCCTCCTTAGTTGATACCAAATGAAAGACATATCAAAAGAACCACTTGGGGGGACTGGCCTGTTTCCCTTTAGAGTTTTGGGGTACAGGGTCTAATGTAAGACATATATCTGAAAAAAATCTCCAGGCAAGAAGCTGCCTGAGGCGGCCTATAGTGTGTGATTTAAAAGCTATATTGAGGGACGTCTGGGTGGCTCAGTTAAGCATCTGCCTCCAGCTCAGGTCATGATCTCCAGGTCCTTGGATTGAGCCCCATCAGGCTTCCTGCTCAGCAGGGAGGTGGCTTCTCTCTCTTTCTCTCTCTCTCCTTCCCCATCACTTGCTCTCTCTCATTCTCTCAAATAAACAAAATCTTAAAAAAAAAAAAAAGCAAGCTGCATTGAGAGCAAATTGTGCTTCCCCTAATAGCAGAGACAAGGATGCATAATGTTTTCTAAGTACTGCATGTGGTCCACAGCACGTGGGAAACAGCTGCCCTAGAGCAGTTAAGGTTTTTTACCTAAGAAGGCTGCCCAGAGGGACAATGGGTTTAAAGAAATGAAGGAAGATTAAGGGAGTAGAAAATGAAGTTGGCTTCTGCCTGCATCTGATGGAGATCAGCAGTTAAATTACATTAAGGTAGAAAGTCTAAATCTCATTAAGATACTTGAAGATACAGTGTTATGGGAGAAAATTTTAAGTCACCTGACTTGTGTCACTGAATAAAGGCTGGATCTAAAAAGGTTGTATCGATAAACCTAAGTGGTCAAAAGTGAAATTTTAAGTTATTACCCAGATATTTAGCTTGCATTACTCCAAGTTTTTACAAACATACAGAGTTTGGAAGTTTGGGAAACTACACTCTTCATCTACATGCCTAATAGATAGGACACAAATAAAAAATGTAGACTCAGACTCAGTCTAAATATATTTGGTCCCTTGGCATAAAAGGCCCTTAGAGAAATGCCTTGTAAGAGTGAATCAAATAGATAATTATGGAGAGTTTACACACTCTTTCCTGGAGGAGTTGAGATGGGGTTGAAATACGAGAGAGACAAAGATAGTTTTTCCAGGCTCATTCCTGCTCCTTAGTACGGGGAGATTAGGACATTCAGAAAGCAAAGGACAAACCCTGCCTCCATACCCCAGCTTCCCTCCTTTTTTACCCTGTTAGAAAGTCCCCCTCCCCACTGCCTTGCTTCTCAACCCCCTTGACTGCTTAGCCAAATAGGTCATGCCTAGGAGTTCTTTCAAGGCTGAAGCCATGGTTTGCTGCATGCCAAGACAGCTAAAGTCTAAGCCAGAGGTCATGTGGTCTACATACCTCTGTTCTGAGGTTTCGAGAAGTGGCCCACTAATCAGGTTGGTGGCAGTGACAGAAGGAGAATCTGATCTACTGCTTCTTTAATAAGGCTATTTTGACTACACTACACTGTAGGAAGGAGTATGGGGTCACATGCACAGACACACCCCATTGCCCTGCCCCATTCTACATAGTAGTTTGGGGCCATGATTTCAAGCAATTTTATTTGGTATTAGGCAGCAACCAAAAAAGAAGGAGAAGGAGGGAGAGGGAGAGAGAGGGGGGAGGGAGAGGGAGGGAGAGGGAGAAAGAGGAGAAAGAGGAGAAGGAGTAGTAGTAGTAGTTGTAGTAGTAATTTGGAAAAGTCAAAGAAATTTACAGAACCACTTTATATACTATGAAGGTGTACCATGTGCTCTGAGTCAACCAACCAATTAAACTGGGAATGTTATGAATTCCATGAATGCTCATGTCATCTCTGCCTAGAAAAATCATGAGATTAAGTAACTTCTGAAAGAACATTTCTCTAATTTCCAATCACCTGCAATTCTCAGTGTACAAACATATAAATCTCATGTGGTTGTTGTCCAGTCTAGACAGAGGTTTCAGGCAAAGGGCCCTGGGGTTGTCTGTAGAGCCTGTGACAGAATTAATTTTGTTTTCTGCAGGGGTCCTGTTCCTGTGATGGTGCATGGGCCCACGTCTTTCTAGGAACCATTCCTAGATAAGAGTTGATTTCAGCCAGTTTTCACTCCACAGTGTCCCAGCCTCATACTAGTGTCTGCAGGCCTTCACAGAGGGTCCTTGCTCTAAAAGCAAAAAGCTGAACAGAACTGGCTGCTAAGAGTCTCCTACATTTGGAGGCGCATTCCTTGATTTGATCATGGAGATAAAACCAAATAGCTCAAACAAAACACCTAGATCTCCTGCATCAACTGTTCTTTCAATGGCAAAAAAGCAATTTTTTCCATAACATGAATAATAAAAAATATGTACTAATGAGATTTACGCAATACTGGAAAGAAGGATTATGAATGGGTAATCAAAATTTCAGGTGATTTACAGATTTCAACCAGTTCAGCCCCAGGGTATGATTATCTCATTAGTCCTGTGCACTCAGAATAAATATAGAATAGGTTGGGTGTGACCAGTGAACAACACATTTTGCCAAAAACTTGAAAAGAACAAACTGCGGATTCAGTCGGGTATGTACCAAGTATTACCTAAGTGGATTTCATGCTTATGAAAGGTGAGCAGCACCTGGCAGAGCAAGATCTCCATGTTCAGAGCCATTCACACATCTGCCACATGGCCAGACTCCCAAACAAACTACATTGTCTCACAACCATCCTGGGCCACCCCTCCTCAGAGTACTCCGTGTTCTTTCTCGACCACACTGAAATTACTGACCTACCTCTCCCTCAGGCCCTCTCTGTGGCTTGCTCCTCCAACTGTCCCTGGAAATGAGTTTATTCTCATCCACACTTATTCCTGGGAGGCACATGAGAATGCCTCCGGAAGTGTAAACCTACTGCCTTGTCTTCAATTAGATTCTACCCTAGAAGAGTTCTCCTGAAGAGAGCAAGCTGGGAAGCGCACAGGTGACCAGTATCCACGTCAGAAGAACAGTTTCATCAATAACGGCTAATGTCAAATGAACCCCTGCTATATGCCAGGCACTATTCTAAGAGCTTTATCTGTATTAACTCATCTAATTCTCTCAACAATTTCATGAGATAGGTGCTCCTAGAATCCCCAATTACAGAGTAGGAAATAGAAGTGCAGAGACATAAAGTCAATTGTTCAAGCTTAGAATGTTGGAACCAGACAGTCCTGCTCAATCATAATACAATTAATTGGACACTTAGTTGGTTTCATTAGTGTTAGTCATGTGCCAGGTACTGTGCTCTAGGAGTTATATGGATTATTTCAATGAATCCCTACAACAACCTCATGAAGTAGGTACTAATATGATGCCTGCTTATACATTGGCCTTATTTTATATCCAAAGTTCAGAAATGTTAAGCAATGGATGGAAACGAAGGTTTGAATAAAGAAAGATTTGTTGTTGTTGTTGTTCTTTTTCTCCTCACTATTGCCTCTATAAAGTTATATCCAGCTAGAGAAAGTGGGTGGGATGCTTAAGACGACATGGAGTGCCCTACTATTGAAGACAGTCAAGGAGGGGGCAGACATTTATTCAAATGGGGTAGCCTTTTTTTTTTTTTTCAAAGATTTTATTTATTTATTCATGAGAGACAGAGAGAGAGAAGCAGAGGGAGAAGCAGGCTCCCAAGGAGCAGGGAGCCCGATGCGGGACTCGATCCCAGGACCCTGGGATCATGACCTGAGCTGAAGGCAGACGCTTAACCGTCTGAGCCACCCAGGCGCCCGGGGTAGCCTTTTAAAGTCCTTTCTGTATTCTCCTGTACCTAGGGATATATGTTTATATTCATTCACATTGTTTTCATGTCTTTCTTGTATTCTTTTCCTCTCTGGTTCCTATTTACTTAACTTGAGGTTGCAAACTACCTTTCCTTTTTCATTTTAATTTTCTCACAACATCTGGGCCTCATCTTCAATAATTCTTGCTGCTGGAGCAGCTAAGAAATTTGAGATTATGGAAGGCCCTGAAAAACAAGTCTGAATTGTCTTCTTACAAAACAGACATCTCCTTGCACAGTGTTTGTGCTGAGAGCGGGGATCACATTGTTCAGACTTGTAATGGACTGGATGCTCCGAAGACGGCAGCACCACCACACCCAAGCATTACCTCAGGGATGTTTTCTTTCTCTTCAAATCTGGGTCTACAGGGTGATGTTAGGTTCCGGTACACTTACTTGGAACTTTGTGATCATAGATTAAGAATCAAGTGATCCACAGTGATGAAAAGTCCGTAGGTTCTGAATCCATTATTGTAGTGGAGTCAGTTTCTCCAAGGAGGAGGATATCATAACAAGTATAATAATAATTATTACTTAATATTTACTAAGCACTTACTCTATGCTACTCTACTGACCTCTTTACATTTATAATCTCATTTAATCCTCACACACAAAAGAAAATTAAGATATGTATTAAGATCCATCACCTGGTTACAAGTAAGAAAACAGAGGCTTTTGAAAATCATAATCAAATAGCTAACTCAGGATGAGAAGTGAAAATAGGATTTTAAAACAACCACTGGGCTCTAGAAAGCCTGCGTTCTTCACCACTACCCAACATGGCCT